CAAGATCACACAAAAGGTGTTTTTGCCATATCCCAAGATCCAAAGCAACTTATGTAACAACCTATTCCAAACAACATATGCAAGGTACAAAACTCATGGCCCCCCAGTGGCACAGTGGTATGCCTGCGGACTTACAATGCTAAAAATCCGGGTTTCGATATCCGTGGTGGGCAGAGCACAGATAGCCCATTGTGGAGCTTTGTGCTTAATTACAAACAAACAAAAAACAAAACTCCTGATTCATACGAATTTGCATGAGTACCTGTGTCATCCCTTTCAGATAAGCTTGTCTCCTTCCCCAAGATGGAAATTAATAGGAATTTCAGCTACGATAAAGAATGGCATAAGTTGCTGACAACCTGGAGTAGCCCTAACTACTTCCATATCTATATGAAAAAACGAATTGTTCCAGCGTGATTTATTTGACGAAAAAGGCGCAATATCATAATACATACATTGTAATTGTTCAGCTTGGATTTTTAATGTAATAAATAAATACCTAGCGAATTGAACCATTTATGTGTAAGTTACGGTTGCCTTCGCCAATACAATGAATTTAGCCGTTGATGTATAAGTTAGGGTTAACTTCGGTGCTAGCCTCGAGAAATTAAAGTTGAACATATCGGTTAAAATTTTACTTATTTTAGAAGAAACGATAATTTATTGAAATATGTTTTGGCGATGTAGACAATAAACTTTTAATAGCGATATTTTTTATATTAACTAGTAATTTAATTATTCACTAATGCCATATTATCATTTCTCAAATGAAACTATTCTGCTTTAATAGATGCAATAATGGAAAAATAATTTATTTTTGATCTAGTTACTAATAGAATGATCTTGAAGTTGTCCGTAACATTTCTCATATTAGAAATAAATACAAAAATTTATAAGATATTAGCATTCTGGAATATTCGAAAACAAATAAACAGGGCAGTCATTACCGCATATTTACACCAGATAGCACTTTTTAGTATAACGATAAACAGAAATGGTGCTTAACGTAATATTAAAGAGATCGTTGGAGACTCCAATGCTTTTTCTGCGAAAGATAGTTCTGAATAAAAATTTTGAGTTTATGTTCAAACGAAATTATGTGAATAATGAATGTAGGTATTCTATGCAGGTTATGTAATACTTAGTTATTTTTAAAAGAGGGATGTGTATATATGTATATAATAATAATTATTATAATAAATAACATTAAACCTTTAATTGCACTAACTTAAAATAAATTTCTGTGTAAATTTCTATATGTATCAAATTTTAATATACAATAATGCATAATAGTTTAAATTAATACATACACAAATTTACACAGGTATTTATTTTAATTCAGAGAACTGAAGATTAAGAAAATTAAATTTATTACATCACCATGTAATTTATGAACAAAGTATTTTGTTTTTACTTCTAGCAAACACAAAATAATGAGAAAGTACTCTTTTTTACTTTTTGTTTATTAGGTATGATAATTAATAATTTGTGTTCATTGGCATAGTCTCCTGATTGGTGTATTTTAATTTTCCATATTCTACAGCACATCAACCTATGAAAATTTTTGCTCAGGAGGGAAACTGATCATTTGTAATTGCTGCTGTGAGATTATGTTCCTAAACTACAAGTAGAATAACGTACAGGCATGGATTGTTATAGGTCTGCCATATAAGTTATATGATTAACTACAATTAATATATTTATATATTATAAGGCTCAAAACATTCAGAGTACCTCCTTATGACATACATCTGTTAGATTAATGAACTAAAGAAATCATGTGGAATTTATCTGTAGTGTTCTCTTTATATTGTAATTTTAGTGCATGGCAACTTTTTTTACTAATACCTTGATAGTCTTCATGGCAAGTATTATAATATGGTAAAAATAGTTCAGTAGTATGTACTTATAATGCAAAAATGTATATGCATTTCTTGAATGAAATTTTTTGTTAGAAACTTTAATTATGGGTTTTCTTTCATTCAGAGGTAATTTTTCTTTCCCAAAAAACACCTATTTTTCTTATAAGTTAATCAAGGCTTCTGGAATTATCTTATTTTTTTACCATGTCTCACTGGTGAATGATATCACTATAGTGAAAAAACCACAGTAAATGGAAAATACTGTCAGAAGTCTGATATCAGAGAAACTAGTTTCAACACATTTGTGTGCCCTCTTCAGTCTCACGTTGTCTTCTGACAGTTTGTTCCGTTTACTGTGGTTTTTCCACTATTTGCTGTACACGATATTGTGTTCTTTTATCATATCACTATAGCATCACAGCTTCAGCAACAAAACCCAATAGTTAATATACAGTTTCTTTTCCCCTAATTTTCCATTTTCCCTTGTTCTTTTTAATTTTTTGTTTTTCTTTCATCTTTTTCTTCTTTTCCTTCTCAATTTTTGTCCTTTTCATCCTTTTCCATCACCCAAAATAGTCCCAGAATTTTCAAAATCTCAAAATTACTCCTATACATTTTGGAGACTTATTTGAAAAAATATTTACCCCTGTTTTTACTTCAATGTACTTTTTTTTTCAGGTCTAATATGATCAGTATTGTTTCTATTTACCACTCTAGCCTGTATTAAAGTTGATGTTTTAAACCTTCACATTGTGGGATGTTCAGTATTGTGTGATAAAAGTTAAAATGTAAATGGTAGCACAAATGATAGTTGTAAGATTCAATTAAATTAGCTGATGTACTGATAAATTTTCTTCATATTTATAGATTTCAGAAATGCAATATATATGAATTAATTGTTATATTAAAAAGTTTTGGTAACAACTTACCAAAGTGATAGTTTTGTGGATATTCAAAACTGACTACTGATGAGATTTCAAAATCTTGTTGCCTAGTTTGTGCTCATAATTATATACTATTTTTTTCACTGTTGTGTTTTTATCTATGTAGAATTTTGTATGAAGGTGTGTTCATCTTATTATGTTTTGCATCTGTGTGTTTGCATTAGCATCTATCACCCAGAGTGGGCTGGTTTGATTACTGTAACTTTTGGTGTGGTGATTAGAAACTGTCCAAAGGTGCACATGGGATATTTTGTGTTAGGATCTTTGCGTGAGAAGTGGGATAAAAAAGTCTCAGAAATAAGGCACATTTCCACTTTTTTTATAGACTTTTGGATTTGAATTTAAAGACACAACTACTTAATCTGTTAAGTTAGTCAGTTATTACCTTCCACAAAGCAGGGTGGGCAATTAGCATTCAATGAGGTCTTTAGAGATTTAATAACAGAAAGAAGGGGAACATTATATAACATTGTCCTTTATACAATTTTCACTTTCTTAACGGGTATTCTCAGCTATAGTATCTAATAAAAGCCTTATATCTGTGCTACAGTTAAATCTATGGCTCAGTCATTGTCAGTTTGTTCTAATGGTTCTTCTGTAACTGTATGTTTCAGAAATAACTCTAACTTGTTATAGATAAAGATGTTTTTACTTATCTTTACTTATCACTTGTAAGAGATTTTGCATCGGAACTGTTTACAAAGAATAAAAAGGCAACATGAACACCTTGATGAAGTTTTATCCCTTTTTTTTTTTTTCAATAATTACCTTTTCCACTGAAGTTGGATGGAGGTTGTGTTTTCACCCCTGTGTGTGTGTGTGTGTGTGTGTTTCTCAGCAAGATTACTCAAAATGGCTGAATAGAGTTGGAAGAAAGTTGGTATACATTTGGACTATGACCCAATTAGAAGTGATTGTTTTTGGAGGGTTACACAAATCCAAAAAATCCCTATCTGTTAACATGGAGACCAATTTTTCACACTATTTTTGCTCTATAACTCAGTCAAAAATAATCAGATTTTGATGAAATGTAGTGGACATGTGTAGAGCATTATTCCTCATTGACCTGCCAAAAATAGTCCATGCCCATTGATAACGACAGACATACAGACATATTTTTGTATTTTTTGAAAGTCAAGTGTGAGCAATGCTGCATGGCGGAGGTATGTGCTCTACTGAGTGCTCCTCTAGTTTTTAATTAGTTTCATCCTACTTAAATTATACAAGAAACACTAAACTCTACCGTACTTGTGCAAATTACATACTTGATGATGTTAACTCAAACAGTAGCTGTGGCTTTTAAATGATTGACTAATTTCTTGTACGATAGAATGTAAATGGAAAATATTTCAAATTTTTACAGTCTGATTCATGAACATGAACATTAAGTGAGAACAAAATTTGTATATTTTAAAACTCATACTTAGGTAAATTTTAACCAGATACGTACAGTCTCGTTACTTACTTTTAACTGTGCTACAAAGTAACTCAAAATGTTTCAAACATTTAAATCCAGTTAGGGTCTTTTCATTTTCCCACATGCATAGTGGCCTGTCTTGTGTGCTTGGCTACAGCCAAAACTCAACTTTGATTCATGAGCGAAGTTCAGTTTATTTACTATTATTCTACCATAATGAATTTTAAAATTTTAAGTAAATACGTGTTTTCTTGCATGTTAAGAAATGTTACATTTAGTCAAAATAATCTGATAGAGGTGAAGCATGATGATTTGCATGAGAGACGTGTTGAAGCTTTGGATTCCAAAAGAGGGATGATGAAGCTTTTGGCATGCATTTCTGAAAAAGCTTGCATACAAATGGTGGCACAAAACGAGAAAAGCTAGCTAATCTTGTGAGAGGAGGGAGAGTACCTTATTGGAAATTCGAGCTATATGGAATATGTCCAGTAGATAACAGGAGATTCACTCAAGATATCAATTACAAAGTAATACTAAATCTCTTAATGACTTAATGTAAAATGAAGCAACAAGCCTGGACACAATGTATAATACAAAATAGACATTCTTTATAAAGACTCTTTACACATTACACAAACACAGAATGTGTAATTGCTTAAATAAATTTGACAGACTGTAGCTTCGACTGGATATCTTCACAATGGTTAACTCTTTTATCCTGACTAGACTAACTCAAATGATAAAAAATACGACATCAAATGCTGGTGAAGTACCAGAAGTGGTGATTGTAACTTCGGAATTCATAAACGGGAAAAAGCGGTAAACACGAGGAAGTAATGCTTTAATAAAAATATTAACTCCACAACTGTGAAGTGTAGTAAATAAAGTTATGAAAAATGAAAAAAATAAACCACTTCAAGAAAACTGAACAATGTAAGAAAGAAGGTCCGAACTCAACAGATGCCAAACAAGAGGTGATAATTCGGTAGTGGCATGTAGAGGGAGTCACATGCGTCAAATGATAGTAGTGCTCTCCTATTGGTGGAAGCCATGGGCGCGTACGACCCGTCGGGTGATATATCATCGCTCATTTGCCGAGAGATTGAGCGGTATATAAGCCAACCTCTCTCGCCTACTTCTGCCCCACATTATCCTAAGACTTTCGAGCCGGGCCAGGCTGATAACGATTTGATCCTTTGTTCCCGGAGTTTGCCACGCCTTCCCGTTTACTACCGTTTATCTCTCAAGTATGTGATGTTTTGTCTCTTACACATTTTTTCTATGACCCTAGACCTTCCCTCTTACATACAACAACTTTCCGACTCTATTTAGTCTTTCTCCCATCACCCAATATTAGGGTTCACGTGGACTGATTTGCCTCTCAACTGGGGGAGGGCGTAAGTATGCCTTATCCCCCACGGACTTCAGATCTGTCCATCCTTGCTTATCATCAGGCAGACTATCCTTTTCTTGACCAAAAGTTGTTGAGGTCAGTTCTACCTGTTTTTTTTTTGGGGGGGGGGGTAGCAAACCCAGATTACCTTGTCCAACTTACCTAAGCCAAATTTTCTCGCTCTTGTCTCACCCTCAAGACCCTGCTAAGGTACCTTTCCTCCTTTCACCTTCTGTCAGAGGCTTTTCACAGGAACCCTGAGGGAGTTTCTGTTGAAATTCTCTCCATCCTTACTTCTACGTTAGCTCGTCTGTTGTCTTCGACTATCGAGCTTCCAACGTGGTTTGTTTATTGTTGGGTTTGGTGCTGACCCATCACCAGGCTTCTTTTCTAAGGGACCTCCGCATGGCCACATTTTTGCGGTGTAATGTGATTGACTATGTTTCTGCGTCTTTGAAGTCGAGGGTGTTCTCGGCTCATCAAAATTCTACCCTTACTAACTTGGTAGCTTGTTTGTTGCAGTCGGGGCCGAGTGTGGGACCAGTTCTTGTCTCCCAACCTTCCCCTTCCCAACTTCTTCCTGTCCCACCCTCCCTTGGTGCCACAGTTCAATGATTTACTCGATGACACACGATCCACTAACAGCAGTACTGATGACTACATGGTCAGTTTGGACCCAGTTGGTGCTTGTCTCTTGAATTTCATTCATTGGTGGAAACCTTTTCTCGCCCATATCTAGGTTCACAGAGTGCTCTTGAAGGGATGCATTATTCCCATTCTCTCCCTTTCTCCATTTTCCATTGTTCCTGTCCACCTTCCCTT